AACTCAACCGGAAAAGAATGTGCAGGAGGAAGATAAGAAGAGAAAGTTTGGGTTGACCGGGTTAAACTGAAAAAGCAACAACGTAAGGTACCCTGGAATTTGAACTATAAAAAATAACATTGACTTTTTGTGTCATTTTATATGTCAATGAATTCTTAAGACAAGATGATGGAGTTTCATAGTTTAAAAAGTAAGTGTGTTTTGGACATTCTTATGAAGAAATCTGTTATAATTTCATCAAAATAGTGACTTCTATCAACCACAGTTGAATGCATTAATTGATCTTAATTTCTGAAAGTATACCCTTTCAGTTAAATGTCATTTTCTATTGCACAAAGGAAGAGAAATAGAAAGACCTTAAAGACTTTGAAGCAGCGAAGTAGAGAGGGAAGGGAAAGGATTTGGCTTTTTTTTCTTCCCTTCCTTATACTGACAGCTAAGAGATTTAAGTAAGAAATTGACAAAAATCCACTTTGACATCAATAGGCATTTAAGCTGAAAATAAAATGTCAAAGGGATAATAAAGACTTTTGGATACTCAAAAACCTTTAAAAGCAGGAAAGGAGAGAAAAGGAAAGAATAAAAGGGCAGGATCTGGAAAAATGGAGGAGACTGCCTGGAACTAAAAGGAATTTACAGTGAAACCTTAACAAGATTCCTAAAAGATACATTCTAACTGAAACTTTGTAACAAAATAATAGAACCCCAGGAAGAGAAAGTGGGGAAAAAAAGCAAGAAGAAACAGTTTGCTGATTTTTGGATTTTTGGCTATTGGATTTAAATGACTAAAACCAATTGGGTGGTTGTTTAAAAGTGTTTAAAATGGCATCACCTTTAGAAGAACTGAAAATGGAACTTAAAAAACAGAAAGAAGATGCACAAGAAGGAAGAGGTTCTTTTGGCTTCGTATTTTAATTTTTAGAAATGGAGATCTGGAACTATGAGAAACAACAAGAAACACTTGTAGAACAAGAAGGTTGGGACAAAGAAGAAGCCATCTTTAATGATCAAGTAATTTTATGTGGGGAAAAAGAAGGAAAGAGGGGAAAGAGAGTGAAAAGTTTAAGATTTGAAAAAACAACCAAAAAAAGAATAGTTTGAAAAATAATTGCAATATTAGGAAGCAACAGAAGAGAGGATCACAGAAGAGAGAAGTAGAAGTAGAGAGACAAGGGGGCAAAAAGGGGGAGGGAGAAGAAGAGGGGGAAGAAGGAAAGGAAAAGAAGTTATAAAAGACAGAAACAAGATATAGAGAAACAGAAAATGTATAAGGATTGAAAGTATAAGCCTATTTCGAGATAATGGATGAAAATTTAATTGAAAAAGGGATTCTGCAAAGGTACATAAGATAGTATTGTTATATTAGAAATAGAAATAATTTTAGAAAATATGAAACAATGTATGATTAAAATGATGGATAAAATACTTATTGTAATGCAGTGGAATGTTTTTTTAATAAATAAATGAAATAAAGTGAATGAGAGAATGAAATTAGGAAAGGATGGGTACATTTTAATTCTTATTAATGATTTATAAAAATATAAGTGAAGAGGAATATGGAAAAAAAAAAGAATTAATTATGGAAAGTTTATAAGTGAATGGAATGGAATAGCAATAGCACTTAGACGTATATACCATTTTACAGTGCTTTACAGTCCTAAGTGATTTAGAATCAGCATATTGTCCCCAACAAACTGGGTCCTCATTTTACTGACCTTGGAAGGATGGAAGGCTGAGTCAACCTTGAGCCTAGTGAGATTTGAACTGCCAAATTGCAGGTAGCCAGCAGTCAGCAAAAGTAACCTGCAGTACTGCATTCTAACCACTGTGCCACCATGGAGAATAGAATAGAATAGAATAGAACAGAATAGAATACTTTTATTGTCATTGCATTCCACGAATACAATGAAATTTGAAGGCTACTCCATCACAGTGCCCCAAACACCACATCACAATCACACTACAGAGTATTTAATAATAATAATAATAATAATAATAATAATAATAATAATAATAATA